GATGCCAGAAGTGATGCTGACAGCAGCATTGTCGCTGGTAGGGTCTCCCACAGCAGACAGGCTTTTGCCGGAAGAAGACCAGAAGAAGAGCCAGAAGAAATGTGGCAAACAGCTCCTGGGTTCCCAGGATTGCCAGATGAAAAACAGAACTGGGCTCCTCTGCCTTTAATGGTCCTGAGGAAGTGGGATTTTCCAAAATGACTAACCAGGAAAGTGTGGTACTTGTAAATCCTTATTTAACAATCATGCAAAAACGTATTAAACCAAAGGTTGCATGTGTTTACTAAAATAATACAATATGAAGCATCCAGTGGGATAATAAGACGATATAAACCATCTAGATCAGCCATTCCCAAACTTTGGCCTGCCAGGTGTTGTTTTGGACTCCAGCTCCCAGAATCCCAGACCATTGGCCAAAGTGGCTGAGGCTTCTGGGAGCTGAAGTCCAAAACACCTGGAGGACCAGTGTTTGGGAATCACTGATCTAGATTTTCAGCAGGCGTTGCAACCATTAAAAGTATAGGACCCCTGTCTTGCTTTTCACTTGACCACCCTTCCATGTTAAGAGGAAACCCAAACTACATCTGCACTGCAGAAATAACCCACTTAGACGCTGCTTTAACAACACAGCTCCATGCTATGGCATCTTGGGATTCATAAATTGTATGGCACCAGAGCTCTTTGACAGAGAAGCTTCTCTCATCAAATCAGATGAGAGACAGGATGGCACTACAGCATTTAAAGTGATGTCAAACTGCATTATTTCTACAGTGTAGATGCACCTTATGACAGCTACTCACGCCTTGCAGGGATTTTTACAATAAGTATAGTAATGGATACCAGGGCCTGGATTGTGGGTGAGTGGGTGGGTGTGCGGCTGGAGATATGAACGTGGCTTTGAGAATTAACTCTGTCGTGGGGCATTAAAAAAACAAAAAACCAATGTAAAAGAGCCCCGAGCCTCTTGAGCTCAAACGGAACTTATTGCTATGCAGATCTATTCCACATTCTTTTAATTACCATGCTAATTGGCGTTTCTGCTTGCTGAGCAGCTTACTATGCCAAGGCAACTTTACTAGAGCAAATAGCCCAGCTGAGCAAGATGGAGGGGGAAGTAAAACAGGTATTAGCATCCCTGCCCACCAAAAGGAGGACTTGAAGCTACAAGGGCTGGGGTAAAAGCAAAGTGAAGAGAAAAGTGGCATAGTGGTTTCAGTGTCAGAGTAGGGGCGCGTCTGCACTGTAGCAATAATGCAGTTTGACACCACTTTAAATGCTGTAGCTATAGAACCTTGGGATTTGCAATTTTACAAGACCTCCAGTCTCCTCTGCTCAAGAGTGCTGCTACCTAATGAAACTACAGATCCCAAGATTCTATAGGATGGAGCCAGGGCAGTTAACATGGTTTCAAACTGCATTATTTCTATAGTGTAGATGCACCCTAGGAGCCAGTGTGGTGTAATGCTTTGAGTGTTGGACTATGACTCTGGAGACCAGGGTTAGAATCCCTGCACAGCCATGTAAACTCATTGGGTGGCCTTGGGCAAGTCACACTCTCTCAGCCTCAGAGGATAGCAATGGCAACTCCCCTCTGAAGAAACCTGCCAAGAAACCCCCATAATAGTGACCTTAGGGTCACTATAAGTCAGAAACGACTGCAGTCACCTGCAACACTTGTGGGATGTTTGTCTTCTTGCCTATGG